CATTGGCGCCGCGCACGCTCAGATGTGGCGTATTTGCGACTACAGATGTCGCTCGTGCCGTTCCGCGCGCGACGCTCCGTCGTTATAGACAGCCGAGTTGAGCACTACGTTTGAAGGGATGAACTGACGTCGTGCGGTGTCAGATCAGTCGTATCTCCCGGATGCGAGATTGACCTGAGAAGGAGGTGACGGGTTTTGGGGGCTTCACTTCGAGCACGGAAGTGACGGTACGTGAAATGAGTGACAAGGACATTTGCCACGTGATTGTGGACATTTCCAGTTCGCGATCGTCGGCGCCCACGTCGTTATTTCTTTGCGTCTAATACTTTGGTACGCGTCCGCAGCGCAGCTTTGAACCGAAAAAGGACGCTAAGTTGACAAGACGCGCACATGTGAGCGGTTGGCAGACGGGTGCACTTTCGGCGTACGGCGAGAGCCTTTTCGTTATCGTGCGGTAACTCGTAAGCTCCGCATGCTTTGCGAATGACACTTTTTTTTTTCGTCGAAAAGTATGTAAGCCGCTTCTTATATAATATAGTACATCGGCCGATATCAGTTATGTTAAACCTCGGATAAACCAAATATTTTTACTAGGGGCATGAGGGATTATATTCCTACATGCATAATGGCAGAGTCCTTAACCATGCGCGTCTGCATTACAATATTGCAAGTCACGTGGTGTGAAAGTGACTCCGTCTAACGCATTAATAATTATCAACGTGCGTGTGTACGTCTTAAGTACATACATACATACATACATACATACATACATACGTGTACCCACACACACAAACACACCGAACTTGTGACGAGTGGCATGCTGCGTAGGCGAGCAATTGGTGGTTCCTGTCGTAATTGCGTAGTCAATTACGTCGATGAAAAGAGCGATTACACAAAACTGTTTTTTCGCTTTCTTGCGAATGTCCCTTAAAAGGCTTAGCACTTTGCTTTTTGTATCCGGTAGCTCTTCAAAAAAAGTGTATAAAACATACGAAATGATGCTTTGATATACAGCAAACTAACACTTGTACGCAGTAATGATTGACTCGAGCAGAACAGCAGTTCAAACAGGTGTTTTAACGCCGTGCAAGCGACTGTAACCAATAATACTTTTTTAGCATCATTGTGCCAGTATAATTACGTTGCCACGCTTTTCGCCGTCCTAAACAGATATGTAACGTGTAGAGCTATGAAACCATTCGGCAAACCTTTCTATTCAACGTATGGACCTACTTAAATGGTACGTGCACTATTCCAAAACGTCAGCGTGTTTCCGTAGGATCCTACAGAAAACATCTATAGCAGATATATTGAAAACATACTGATTCTGCAAGGAACCTTATGAAATTATTAGAATCTCCCGCGGAACTCGTCAGGAAAACAAGTATATGAGACGCGGAGTGTATTTCTGCATTGTTGTTTAGTTACCTGTATAACTCGCACGCGTGCAGTAGTTCCCATAGCGTAGACGTAGCCTAGACGCGCGTGCATTAGTAAACTGCCGCACGTGCGTCGAATAAATGCTCAAGTTTATACAGGGACTGCACCCCGTGGCGGCGCACACGCATCCAGGACGAAGCGCAGCCGGGATGCACCGCGTCGAATCGAAAGGCAGGAGCCCCGCGGTCCATATAAGGGAGCAGCAACACTTTCGCATACAACCATCGAGACAAAGAAACAAAGTAATACAAACACAGGAACAGCGAAGGAAACGGGGACTGCGTGATGGACGTGGCTAATGACAGTGTTGGCCCCGGATCCGAGCCGTCGCCCAATCCGGGCGCGCCTCCGTACACATACATACTGCAGGCTCTTCGCGTTTCGCCCATGGAGGTCTAACCCCCCCCCCCCCTCCCTCAGCATTGCTCTGGCCCTGCGGGCATGGTGGGCGCGCTATAGAAGCGATTATTACGGTGGCTTCAACGTTGCCAGCCCGGGACGAAGTGCAAGAGGGAAGAGTACAACGAGGGAGAGATGAAGAAAAAGAGAGAAGAGGGAGGGATGCCAGGAGCTGCGGGCGTATACCGGATGCCTCCGGTCTAACGACGGCAAAAAAGCCAACGCCGCAACGCTGGATGGCGACGCTTATATAACCTCCCGGTTGCCTCCATCGCTGCGGGCGCCGCTACGTTGGCTCCCATATGTCGTCCTTGGTGCACTTTCGGCCGTTCCGTTTCCCTTCTTTAGTGTTTTCGTTTCGGCAGCTTGTCAGAGACCCGCGTGTGCCGCCGCCTGGTGGCAGACCGTGTACGAAATTCTCTGCGCTTTCGCTTCGAGAAAATATATGTATGTTGCGTGCATTTCCCTCCTTCCCAGAGTCTTATTGCGGGCCTGTTTCGCGCGTCGAGCCTGTTTTTTGGCGCGTAGGGAGGCTCATTCAGCCGTGTCGGAGTGAACGGGGGAAGCTGGGATCGCCGGGAGGGGTGTACGCGTACCCTGCGGGCACCTGCGATTCGGTGCAAGCGGGCGGCGTCAGCTGTCACGTATACGAGGCCCTTATGTTGTCGACCAGAGAAACTAAACCAAAAAGGCGGAAGAGCAACTTTATGGGCCGCTGTGCCGCGTCATGAGTAGAAGGACGGAGATACGAAAAATAGAGAGCAGGGCGCTCGCTGTATGGTTGGTCAAAGCTTCAATAACGCGTTTCCCCGGAAATCATGCGCTGTGCTTCGCGCTCCAAGATGGCGCTGACGAAAATGGACCGCGCAATGCGGGTATACGTGCAATATATGCTGTATCACTTTGTCACTGGTTCCTCAACGCATTCGCCTATAGTTCTGTGCAATGCCGTTCCGCGAGGTAGGAAAAAAAATGAAAGAGGGACTGCCATAGTTTGCACAGAAGAGGAGGACATGCCAAAACATAGAGGATTTGAGGACCTATAGAGTGAGTGCCTGTATAGTAGGTCATGCAACGTAGAAACTCCCAGGCATTTCCCCGAGGGTGAACGTGGTTAAGTGCGAATACATGGGGTGATGCTATGAGGGGTATTTATTAATTCGCACTGTTATATTTATTAATCACACTATGGTGCCTTTATGGTGAAATGGTTCCTGGGAATCGCAATTTGATCACACGGGGGAGTTTACGTTAACTCACTGGCGAATGCCAACGGATTTTAACTTTACTCCCCCTCACGACCCGCTCTCGACGGGAGACTGAGAGAGAAGGCGGGCGCGCGAGAGAGAGAGGTGCGCGCGCAGCTGCAGCCAGCGACGAGAGCGGAGGAGCGAGCGAAGGGGGAGGGGGTATAAGGCGCGTTACTGACACCGATATCAGCGTCGCGTCCGTGGCTTATTCGGTAGAGCGTCGCGCTGCGGCCCGCCAAGTCCTCTTTTTTTTTTAAAGATAGAAGACTGCGGACGCCGCCGACGGCGGTGGATGGTTTGGGGTCGTTTATAAAGTGTATTCACACTTAAAACTTGGAATAATTCTTTTGGATACTTATGGTGCGACGACTGTGTAGATCTTTAGTGCGAGATAGCCCTCTGGGAACGCGGCCTGTCGTCAAGGCGGGCCAACGCGGTCCCAAGCGATGGCCTGTGCGCGCTGCAGAGCAGTGGTAGAACTCGATGGCACGTGCGCGTTGCAGTGGCAAAGAACTCGCCTAATAGTTTCCGCGTCACCTCAACGGTGGATAATAACCATAATTTGTGGACCACGATAAAACTACGGTATGGTTATGAGAGACGCCGCAGTGTGCAGGGCTGCGGACATTTTGATGATCTGGCGTTATTTGACGTGTAACTGAATGTAAATACACGAGCTTCGAACTGCGGCGGCTGCATTTCCGATGGAGGCGGAAATGTTGTAGGCCCGTGTGCTCGGATTTGGGTGCACGTTAAAGAACCCCAGGTGGTCGAAATTTCAGGAGCCCTCCACTACGGCGTCTCTCATAATCATATGGTGGTATTGGGACGTTAAACCCCGCATATCAATCAAATCAATCAACGAGCCTCGAACATTGTCACAGCCACCGAAAGCGCAATCGTTGAGGCAGGGATTCGATCCCGCGACCTGCGGGTCAGCAGTCGACCACCATGACCACCATGGCGGGTTCTCAGGGATCGAGAATATTGCTTTTACTTCCAACTACAGTACTCCTAGTTCAGTATGCCCCCAACCTAGCATGGTTTAGCACTGCCTACGGGATTAAAGGCATTGCAAGCTTTCTTCATTTTCCGCGCTTACGTGTTGGCCCGCTTGTGATCAAGCAACGGTGCCTATACGACGTCATCCTTTGATGTCACGTCACTGTGACGTCATGACAAGGCACTGATTCCGTCATGGCGATGTCGTGAGGTGACGTTGTTATGTGACTATTCTTACTTTTTTATCATTCGCGTCGATTCCCACGTTCGTTTTTGGTAATCGATGATGCATGCAAAGCTATCGCACAAATAAATCTATAACCGACCACAATGTTTTAAAGTTCCTCTATGCAACGAACGAATGCGAAAAGGCGGGAGAAAAAAAAAACACCATTGGTGAAAAAAAAAAAAAACAACAAGAATGCTAGCACACGGAAGTGTGACGTATTATCTTTCATCTGTGGCGTACGCTGCTAGTGACATGCGAATTAAAACAGTTTCCATTTTGTTCAAGGAAGGAGTTAGCTTCCGGATCTTTTAGGAATGTCACCGTAGAGATCTCACATCGATCGTCTACATTTTTTTTTTTTTGCTGATCGATGACGAGCGAAAAGTGGAAATTACCGTATGCCTAATAAGAAAACTGCATTACCGCACATTGCCTTCTCCCCCCCTTCTTCTGCCCGAAAAATTTCGAATATGCCCTACAAGTACGGTAGTTACCCACCGGTCTGCAACGCTGCGTGATAGGCGGAAGACTTCTTAAAAGCCACGCAAAGCTGCGATCGCAAAAAAGTGCCGTTGTCCTGAGTTGGGAGGGTGCACTTAATTTTCGCGACCAAGCGCGTTGAAGTTTGTTGCCGTCCTGTAAGAATGACGAGGCCTCTTTTTTCGTTTCGTGTCGTGCAGGGACCTGCAAAGCCTCACGCAAGTCATCACGGGACTGGCTCCCACGCCCCCAGTTCGACTGAGAGTCGTGAACGCTTCCGGAGATGAGGTCGCTGGCGTCGACCTCGGAGATCCGCTCTACCTCAAGGTCGACATGGAGGACGAATGTGGGTGAAGTTTTTTTTTTTTTTTTTTTTCACACGCGCTCGTTCAGCGAGATGTTTCGGGGTAAGACAATAAATAGAAGAGAAAATCAGGGAGGTTAACTATGGAAAGTAGTATCTGGTATAATACCCTGCACTGGGGTCGGCGCGCTCGTTTAATGATATGTTTCGGAATAAGACAATAAATAGAAGAGAAAATCAGGGAGGTTAAGTAGTAAGTAGTATCTGGTATGCTACCCTGCACTGAGTTTGGGCAATAAGGTTTGAAAAAGAGAGAAAGAGTATATAGTATAAGCCAGCAGAGTTCTTCGGTTACATTATTCCGGTATACGCTTTGGGATTCACGAAATGCCGGTTTGCCGGACCATGGTATTGACGTATTGTCGTGCTTCGGGCCACCACGATCACTGACAGGCTTGTTTGTTCTCACCTGGTGTATTCTAGAAAAAAAAAAAAAAGCCGAAAAAAAAGGTTACTTATTCGGTATTAGGCCGCTGAAGAGAATTTACTTCAGCTGCACTATAGCTTCCTGCGGTAACACTACCACACTTGCCCGGTTCATGTCGGTCACACCAGACGGCATCACGGAGGCCGATCACTTTAACGGCTGCGGTATCTGGTTAAACCTAATGCGAAGAAGTGGGCGGGAAAACAACAACAACAAAAAAACTATGTTGACTGAACAAGCGCACGCATTTGCAAAATCAATAAATTGTAATAAACTAGTCAGCACTCATTTTGGGGGCAATATGACGACTTGAATGATAATGATCAGTTTAAAATCACTTTTATTCGAAGGGAAAGTTTTCGGACTTGTGATCAGTTTCCCGCATGTGCCTCATTGTTATTTAATCTCAGTGATGGGTATAATGGGTGAAAGAAAAGTGTGCTTCCTGTTCTTTCATAAAAAAAGATAAACAGCGACAAGGGTCAATTCTGCTCTTTGCTTACGCCCATACGTCGCAAATAAAGATAAACCATCTCCCTTTCTTGCATTTTAATGTTTGCAGAATAACTTCACGAATTCAACAAGGAGCGGCTGCTTGCTACTGTTTCGAAAACACGGAGACTAAAACAACAAAGAACAAAGCAAACACTTCTTTGTTTATCTATAATACTAGGAGCAAGAAGGAGTATAGCCCATCTTAAATAAATATGCCCGCTGATTTCTTCGCGTTTTGAATACTTCAAAAGCAAGCGGATGCCAGAAGGTGGGGAAAAAAGCGGGCCACTGCCACAACAGTGCCGCACATTCTCACCCACGTCGTGAAATCGAATTTCGCGAGGCCAAACCACGTGGAAAAACCGCGATATGCAAAACATTCGCGCGCGGACGAGGCTGCAGGAACGATAAATCCGTTTCACGGGAGTCGTTCTCACGTGCGGTTCCACAGGGGAGAGCCGATGAATGAAAATAGCGTGAAAAAGAAAGAAAGAAAGAAAGAGAGTAAGGAAGAAAGAAGGAAAGAAAGAAAGAAGGAAAGAAAGAAAGAAAGAGAGAGAGAAAGAAAGAAAGAAAGAAAGAAAGAAAGAAAGAAAGAAAGAAAGAAAGAAAGAAAGAAAGAAAGAAAGAAAGAAAGAAAGAAAGAAAGAAAGAAAGAAAGAAAGAAAGAGATTTTCTTGGCGCAAATGGCTGGCAGTCTTTCATCCCTGGAGGATCCCAGTTCACTGGTGCGCACATGAAAATATGCTGTAGGAAAATCCCTAGACGTTGCGCGATCCTTTTTGCGTCCTTTTGTTTGCCTTGTCGTGCTCGTGTGCGCGCTTCACAACATCCCTGCAATATTCCGGAAAGTTTGGACAGACCGAATTTTCGCTTGCTTGAGTGCAGCGCTACGGGCCTTTTAAACTTATTTCGCCTGTACCGCGAGATTTCGAGAGAGTGTGTTCTCAGTTTAGTGGTTCGCGCGATCCTCGGCGCACTGTCGTTATATTTTGCGGGCGCGAAATGCAAAAAGGCCCCAGTACGTTTACGTTGATTTGAACGTTAATGAACCGCATGTGGCGAAAATTACACCGCGGTTGAAATAACACAAACGGTCCAAAGCGTCGCATGTTAAAAACTAAATCTCGAGTTCGACGGAGACCCGTCTGGTCGAGATGAATCACGATCAAGAAAACCAAGTAGACCGACCAAATAAAAAGCTAAGGAAAGACGACGTTTCGGATTTTACACGGAAGCCTTGTTCATAATCTAATGCACATTAACCACTGCCAATAATCACATTAACCACGAAGCGTCCGTCTGAAACAATCACCTTAAGCGGTTGTTTTGCCTTTTTTTTTTAATTTTCTCTCGTAGCCGTGTTTGGAATCTTCGGCAGCTCTCTGACAGCCCGCAGTGGCGAAGGCTCGGAAACCATACTGCTCCTGGACGACAAAGGGTAAGCATGCTCATTGTGACGTCACCTTAGCTCCCTTTCGACATTGCTTGTGCCGTTCAGGCGCCATGCCAGAATGCCATAACGTTACGTTGATCTTTTTTTTATCGCGTTGTGATGCCGTACCATCACCGCTGATAAGTTTTCGTGTTTCAAAAGGCATCTGGGGCTGTTGCTTTGGTGGAATATGGCGGAAGTCTGATTGATGATTGATATGTTGGGTTTAACGTTCCAAAACCACTATATGAATATGAGAGACGCCCCCGGTGGAGGGCTCCGGAAATTTAACCCACCCGGGGTTCTTTAACGCGCACCCAAATCTGAGCACACGGGCCTACAACATTTCCGCCTCCATCGGAAATGCAGCCGCCGCAGCCGGGATTCGATCGCGCGACCTGCGGGTCAGCAGCGGAGTATGGCGAAAGTCTCCCGGGCCAATCAATGTGGGAGGTGGCTCAGCGCAACGCACGCCTCCGTATGGAAAAGCTGAACGCTCATGGGCATTACTTTAAATAACTAATGCCCTTGAGCATTGTGCCGTTAATCTCGCTGAACAGGGTGTTATTAAGAGAGGCGTCGAGGGAACTGCCATGAAACAAGCGCTCTTAGCATAGCATAGAAGGTGTCGCAGACTGTCTAATCGTGGTGAAAGAAAGAAAGAAAGGAAGAAAGAAAGAAAGAAAGAAAGAAAGGAAGAAAGAAAGAAAGAAAGAAAGAAAGAAAGAAAGAAAGAAAGAAAAAGAGTGTGAGAGAGAGGAAGAAAGCGTAGTAGGCTAATTTTTGTGCTTACATTGCGCCTTTTGGGCGTTTTCCACATAAGTCGGCAGCGTTAACGCCACCTTCAACTCCACATACACGCCATCCACCGACGCTTTCGAGCTGCGCCACTCTACTTGGAATGTCGACAAGCTCGTGCAGCGATAAGAGTGAATTCATTGCGACAGTAGAACACAAGGGTGGAGCTCGCGCCGCCATTAGTTACCCTAGCGACGTCACGCTAATGCGGGTCCACATGTACGATGCGTAAAGTTCTTAAAAAAAGAAAAACGCCGGCATTAGAACTTGGTAATATCGGCAAACTAGATCGCGTGCTGCTGGCTTACCGCGTAGGGCACGAAACGGGCCCGAAAGTAAGGCCCAGAAAGTGCCTCACAGCGGCTGTACAAGAATGTGCGAGCGTATACCACTCCGAGGAGAGACAAAAACAGCGAAAGAATCCAGCCGCGCAAATTAAAAGGCAAGCGGCCACGCCGGTGCTTCAGAGAAGCGATGAAAAGCACCTCAGTGTGCTACGCGAGCAAGTTGGCGAAAAAGACGCGGTAAAAAGTAACACCCTCAAAATACGGCTAGAGCGAACGTCACAATCGACGCGAGGGGGCCTGACTGCCCCGTCTTGGCGTGCGCAGCGCCGATGCCTTGCGGGAATGCTCGGAATTCGGGGCAGGGCCGAGCGTCGCCTTCGGCTTCACGTCGTTCCGTGTGGGGACCCTCCTCCGCCGCCTCCTCTTCTTAGTTTTGCCCTCCTTCTCTCTAGCTCGTCGCTGACAGCGTGTGTGCGCAGTTCGCAGCGCAATTCCCTCCGAGGCGACGTGCCGAACCGTTGCGCGCGCTTGTAACATGTTTTCTTCGCTGTCGGGATCCTTATGGGTAGAAGAGGAAGGGAGGAGGTTGCGATCCTGTCACGGAGCGGCGCACAGCCGGAGGCTACCTAGCATTACCCGTTCTCCCTCTCGAAGAGCGTCCCCCTTATGCAGCCCTCTTATATTATATCGCTCAACCCCGCCGGTATTAATAACGCGCTCGTTCAGTGCGCGCGCTTCTTATCGTCGTCGCTGTCATGCTATGACGGCGCGCTTGTCAGGCATCCGTCAACGGGTTGAGCCATCTTTTTGTTTTTCTTCCGTCAGGCGTTGTAACGCTCCTCCACGCATGCAAAACGTGCCCCACTTCACCCGTTCGTGTCTTAAGAGTGAGCCCCTCACAGGCGATGGGGTGTTCTTTTCTTATTTGCTGGCATTCCTGTCTAGTGCTTCGAGTTCATCGTGTCGCTTGAGAGCGCGGTAGATGGCCAACGTGGGTCAAGAACGACGCGTCGTGCAAGCCGATCGTGCGCCGAATGTATCTCTGTGTACACGACTTTTAGCCTACAGCCCGACTGGGGGCGCTCGCAGCCTTGGGTGAAGGTCGGTAAACGTCTCTCGTGTAGAAGACGTTTAGCTTAATGTGTTAGTGTGCGGTCGCGCTGTCGGAAGAAAGGGGGAAGGGCCGTGTTTCATGTCGAGAAGAAACAACAAACAAGACAAAACACGTCATATGTTGTGTCGCGACGCTGTGTCCGGTGTGCCTCTTTCGTTATCTCCGTTTTTATCCTGCATTACACCATCAAGTAGAATACAAAATACCAACAATCCCACATTGCCAGCCTCATCGACTTCTTGAAAAGTGGGGAACCCACCGAGTTGCCCAAGTGTTGTAATGACTAAGGTAGTAGGTAACTTTTTGCCTTCTGCATTTAGGTAGTGAACACCGAGGGCGCCCGATGGTATGTATATTGGGTGGTGTTTTCAAATTTAACTTGCAAGCCGCAGTGGACGACTGTAAGTTGGTACCACAGGGACAGCCTTTCTTATCGCAAATGAACATGCATAAGTAATCTGCTCACGGTTGAAGACTGATGAAGAAAAGTGTAGACTTCGCAACATTGGCGCAATAACGTTGGCGGCTCACTCACAACGCCAGCCATTTCGAATGTAGTCGAGCTGTTAGAAATTTATGCCACCCAAGTATACAGCCGGCGTAAAGGAGCTTGTACGAACGTGTGCAGAACAACTTTACGCAACGAAATTTACGACATTACAGCGTGGTGGTCATTGCGGGCTAGTCGGAACGACTGGGTTTACGCGTCGCTCTAACGTCTCGGTTGCTTTGTCACTCCTCGCGGGAGCGAGCCAGGCACCACCATGACTGAGGGTTACAACGCGAGTCTTCCCTTCGCCGTGTATCTCATATCAGCCGTAGGCTTAATGGTGGCACTCGTCTTAGCAGTAGTGACACTTACGCTGCACAGAACTACAGCGGCGACGAAAACACGCCACTTGCGTAATACCCGCAGCATGTCCGGAGCTGCTCTCGGCCAAGTTTCGCGTCCATAGAAATTTCACGAGCCTCTCGACTGCACATCGGCGTGCACACTTGAGCACAGATTGAGGACGAGCTCTTTGTTTTCCGTCGGTATTCAGGCGCTCGAATGGCGGCACTTCTACGCTGATGAGAGGGGGGCACGCACTTTCACATCCCACCTTTGACACGTTCCTGCGTTGGGGTTGACGTTGACGACTATTGTGCGGCGCGACAACGTGACAGGCCCAACTTTGGCCAACGCGAGGAAAGGCCGGCGCGGTGTTGGTGACGGGAAGCAAGGATTCTTCCCCCCCCCCCTCCCCCACTTCACAGCTGTTGACGGGAAGCAAAGTTGGCAACCTTTTTTTTTTTTTTGCTGCGCTCGTTTGAAAATCTGAAGATTTCTAGGTTTAAAAAGTTCTTGAAGACGCGTGCCTTGGGAAAAGAACCGAGCTTTAATAGGGGAAGCCTTCTGATGCTTTCTGGACTGGTTGGCGCCTGACGCGTCTCTCGCGTCAGGTGTAGCGAATGCGAGACCCTTGGGGGTTTGTAAACTTGCCGTTCTGTCGCGCTGTTCTCCGTAGCACTCGCACAGGGCGTCATGTTTCTGTTCATAGCTAGGCACGGATGATAAGTCTCCCGAGTGTACTTAATGCAGGCGACACCTGGTGACGCTGCGCTTTGCCGAAGCGCACTTCGTGCTCAGAGGACGATAACTCCGCACCTCGGTTGCGAAAGTGCCGCACGGGTAAATGTGTCCCCTGCGCGCACGTTTACTTGTGTAAGTGGACGTTATTGAACATAAATAACTGATAAGCGTTCAACTATACTCAAAAGAGACTGGGTTGGGGCAAGTTTGAACATGGTGGATGAAAAAAGGTGGCGCTACAAAGTTCGCGCAGACGAAGCTTCGTATTCCACTTTTGTGTGAACTCTTGCAGAGCTGCCATTTTCTATTCGCTGGCTCACTTTCCTGCGCAAAGCATACGTGTGCGAGGTAGCGTGAGCACGCAACTGCAAGAACAAATAAAAAACAACATTCTGAGCAAAACACTGGGTAGATCGCTACAGTTCCCACAGGAAGGAGTCTAGGGTATTTTTGTCTACCATTGTTGGTGGAACTATAGATAATGTCCGTTAAATTATGGTTTATACAGTTTAGTGGGTGAATACCTTAGGCTGATGATTCCTCAACCAATGTTGCGAAGTATGGGCCAAATTACGCAATTGCACTGATGATGTTTAAGGTTAACCAATGTTGCGATGTATGGGCAAAATTGCGTACTTACGATGATGATGCCTTAAATCGGCTAATGCTGCGTTGTACGGGTCAAGTTACGCAATTACAAATGCAGACTGCGCGCTATCTGACAATGCCGCGGTAGCGAGTTTCTGTACACATATTTTTTTAAAGCTTTTCCGCGCTTCTTTACTCTGCACGTGCCGCTAAGCATTGTGCTCCTCTGCAGCGCACTCCTTCAGTGCGGTACGTTTAAGCAACCGGTCAGGCGTTCTCCTTGTTTGTGTCCGCAGTTGCCCTGTAGAGCCCGCGGTGTTCCAAGGCTTCGAGCGGGCTCCGGGCTCCAAGTCACTCATGGCGCCGTTCCAAGCGTTCCGCTTTGCATCAGACAGCACGGTCAAGTTCCAGATGACCGTGTCCTTCTGCCTGGACGTCTGCCCAATGGTGGGTCATGATCATGCAAATCTGATCATGATTATGCAAACTGAAGTTAACTCGTCTCCTTCTCATGTTCTTTCGTCAATATTTTCGTTCAGGCGATAAATCAGTAAGACATCAAGTCAGTCGCCCGGACACCCGTTCATTCATTCATTCATTCATTCATTCATTCATTCATTCATTCATTCATTCATTCATTCATTCATTCATTCATCGGCAACTGAGTCGGACAGGTAGCGCTCTTAACCGGGAAAAGCATCTGTTCTGAATATACGTAAACAATCAGTCACAAACACCAGCAAGAGCGCTTTCTTTCTTTTTTTTTTTTTGCCGCGAATGGTGCACTGTTATCGAAATACGCTCATTGCGATTATATTTTTTATTGTTAGCGATACATCGCACTCTGATTTTGCGTACAATACAGCACGCGGCTACGTTTGCCTTTTGCAACGCTTTGTCTGTTGGTAGATTTCATCTGTCTTTCTCTGTTACTCTATTTCACTTAGATCCACATCCTAGCTTGTGCGCTCTAATTTTGATGGTTGGAACAGCGAATAACCGGACTATCGGACACCTATTTTACCGGAAAACCATGGCTATTCGGCAGGTCTTTCCTTTATGAACTAATGGCAGCGTGCTTCGTCTCTCCCTTTTGTCGCCTCGTCTTTTGCAGCCCAAATGTCCAGGTGGAGGCGGCACGGACGACCAGCAGCAGATGCAGCACCCGCAGCACCTGTCCACCGAGAGCCGCGCCGGCCGCCGGCGACGCTCGGCCAGCGCCGCCGACACGCACGCGCTCGACCTCCAGACGGGTGACGTGGTCACTGACGTCACCATGGAGACTGCGCTGTTCGTCGTCCACAACCTGACGCCGTCGCCGCAGGCCTCCTCGGACGCGAGGCACGCCGGGAGGGACGCCAGAGGTGAGCGTCGCCCGAGGTCTGCGGCAGCAGGCCGCCAGCGTTCAGCGCGCCGCGATCGCAGCGCCGCAGAACCCTTCTGGCGGCGGATCTTAGCCGCGGCGCGGCGATGATCACGTGGCCCAAGGGCTAACTGCCAGCGTTGCGCGGTAGAGTGCGGGCGATTGCGTTTGTGTTGAATAAATGTGGATGCCACAAAACAATGGTCCATTTCACTGGTACCGCTAATATCGGTGGACTTGTATGTTTCGAGCAAGTAATCAAAACAAGGCAAACGTTTAGGGCAAGACGCAAAGTTGGAAGCGATGGAAAATACTTGGAGCATAGGGAGTCATTCGAGAGAATCAACCATGGCGATCTCGTCTTTTTCAATAGAGACAAAACTATGGTCCCTAAAATAGCCAGCATTCTAGGGACCATAACAAAACTACATGTCGAAGCGCCTGATCCAGCGACATCCAATATTCCAAGAATTTGAAGAGTGAAACAGCGTTCATGAAAAAACAAGAAGATTCACCAGAGCGATTATACGGTTTACGACCCTGCATAGGGGTGTGGTGGAGGAGACTAAAAAGATAATGGAAACGAGATAGATAGATAGATAGACAGATAGATAGATAGATAGATAGATAGATAGATAGATAGATAGATAGATAGATAGAAAAAGCAAAGAAAAATAAAATAGGAAAGAAAGAATATGAAAGTGCATTTAGTTTGCTAAGATATGCATCGCATTCAACAGTCCTTTATAAAGTTTCGTCAACGCGTGTGCCTGTGAACACCAACAGCGCTTTTAAACACATGCGTACAATGACTGCCACCCACACCGCAAAGAAAACTTGCTTTTTAGAAGCGAAAAGCTCATAAGATCTCACAGGAGAGAGCTAGGAATACGCTAGTGGCAATTTGAGGAACAATAAACATGCCTGAAGTATTTCATGACTCTGCAAGTGGTACTATACATACGTGTGCTATTCAAGATCGCAGTAACCTGGTTTTGATATAAAATTTATATAAAGTTCTGTTACTGCGTCGTTCCCATGGAGCGGACAGGGTGCAATATAGCAAAAAAAAAAAAAACGTTTCTACTTGCGAATGTTCGAGTACGGCCCTGACGCTCACCATGAATAAGTCAACAGTGTCGTACGACAACCAGTTCTTTAGCATAGAAAGTTGCCCAAAGAATACATGGGTGCTTTAAATTCCGCTCGAGCCTTTTTTTCAAGGAGCCTCACATATTTCCGACTGACTACGTGAAACAGTTCATGGCACAAGCAGGAAAACACACCCATTTTTCTTCCTAATCAATTCAGTGACTAATGAACTTTTTGTACTTGCTTTTCCTTTGTTTGATATTTCGCCTTATAAAGCGACCTTTTTTTATATTCTGAAGTATTCTGCAGCATCGTTATAATGCACGGCGACGTGGTATAGACGGAACTAGAGCAAGCGATGAAGAGAAGGCCAAAATCAAAACGGAACCCGGTACAGGTAGAGGGCTCAGATCATCACCACACATCCATGTTCATACGCGTGGACGAGCATCAGTGAACATTTCCTCTAACAACCGGTTTCAAACACCCACGAGACGAGAACGCTGGCAGATCCCACGCATTGTGGAAACCACTTTCCCGTGAAGCAGTGTATACGAGCTGCAGCACATGCTGTATTTCTCGCTTTGACTCGAGCGTTACCAGGTGTATCTTTGTAAATTGAGTAGCTGTACGCTGATCGTTGGTTTTGCCAGACACGACGGCCACACTGGCTTGTAAAAGTATAGCTCGTGGTCCAACGTTAATACGTACTCACGTTAGGGCAGTAACGACAGTTTTATCGCAACCAACTGCCCACTGCGATGCGATGATCTGCACATTGTACGTAGGCAAAGACGTAAGCGTCGGAATATCCCCTTTTTGACAGAAAGCCTCTCGGCTAGAACGCTGATCACTCTAAGGTGTGACATCATAATCATCACTCAGCCCCTGGAGTAGCATGTCAGGCGAAAAGCCAGACAAACGTTTCCAGCTTTTCATTAAAATATTTTCGCCTCTCTCCCAGTAGTAAGTAGTGCTGCTAAATCTAAGTCGGCATTGTCGCGACCATTACGTTTTTACATAATCCGTAATTTTAACACGAAAGTGTTTCATGCCGGAGTCAACCACGGCTCTGCTGGCGTACTTCCGTCACGGAAGTGACGTTGAAGATATATATCAAGAAATTGTAGACAGAAAAAAAAACAGAAATTAGGCATTTGCCGCGCGCAATCAAACCATGAACCTCTGGGATCTCAGCGTGCGGCGCTAATCCCTATACACCACAGAGCGTGCATTGTCGGGAATGCTAACGGCAGGTCATGTAAATTTATCATACGCCGTTCGGCCGTCCCGAGAGCTTCGAAACTTTCCGCGCGTTTTCGTTATCAGTGGTGAGATCGCACGACGTGCTCGCGTTAAGTGATTGATTGATTGATTCATATGTAGGGTTTAACATCCCAAAACCACGATATGATTACGAGAGACGCCGTAGTGAAGGGTTCCGGAAATTTCGACCACCTGGGGTTCTTTAACGTGCACCCAAATCTGAGCAACACGGGTCTACAGCATTTCCGCCTCCATCGGAAATGCAGCCGCCGCAGCCGGGATTCGATCCTGCGACCTGCGGGTCCCACGTAGGGTGCGCTCTAAAAAGTCCTCGTCTCCAAGGAGCGTGTTCTCTCATGCGTGCGCGCGCTTATCAGACTCGCAATTCGGGAGAGGACGAAGGTCCGTTTTGTTTTTTCACACTGCCGTGGCCGTATTTATGAAAAGAGCGAGCTGCCGACACACACACACGACGCAGGAAGAATCGTGACAGTCTTTCGCGCTTGTCCTGTATATACTTGTGTGCTCGTGTCGTGCGTCTTTCTGTTTGAACAGCGAACTATGAGCGTTGAGCTGTGACAGTTGTTAGTCCGCGCTCGTTCTCTGTACGCTTATTTTGTGCGCGCGTTCTGCTCGTAGATGGCGCTACGATAGAGCGTCTAATATGATCGAGTGAAGACCGCTAGCGCCGCTGCATGCGGTTGTCTGTATAATAAAAATGCTTACTCCCCTCTCTCTCTTTCTCTCTCTCTCTCACACATACACAAGCACAGTTTAGTTGTAAAAATGAAGACATGAGAATGAGTGCGGAGGGGGCGAAGGTTTGCAAAAAAGGTTGTGCGCGCAACCATGAACGTTGACGGTGATGTGTAAAGAGCACCTCCTTGCAGGACGTTTATGTCGACCCTTGGTTGCTTCGCATACTATATATTAAGGGTTCCCTTTACGAGGAGATGTGTGCGATTTTTTTCAAAACAGCACATTCGTTTTAGTTCCGAGTAAAGCCAACATCGTAGGCAGAAAATTCGGCAGTCATGAGCTCCACAGAGCGGGAATCTGTCAAGCACCTCCTCGCACAGCATAGTCATGCGTAGTATGGCGGCAAAGGGGGTGGGAAAGGTAGTGTGGTTGAGGAGGAGTGGTGTAAAGACAAGGTGAAAAGAAAGGAGGAACGGAGAGGGTAGAACCTTGCATCGTATAATTTTTCAAGAGAATGAGCAGAGAGAGTAAGGGTGATCAGGAGATAGAAGAGGGAAAGGATGGGTTGAGAAGGTAAACAGTAGCATGATCGTGTACAGCATAGCATGATGTGAGAAAGGGAAGTGTGGGTAAGGAGGAAAGATGTGAGGCTAACGTAAATAGAGGTCAACGTAGAAGGGCATAAAGAAAAACAGAAAAAAATGAAGAAGATGTAGAAGGACGAAAGAGACAATCGTAATAAGAGATCTGCGTTCGCCAGGCGGTGGCGCTCACTTGCCGTTTCCACTGTAAACTCAGATTGCACAGGCGTGAAATCGGCTTTCATTTTTTTTTTTTGCGTGACGGTGAGGTTGTTATGACGGGTGAGCCAACAGTAGTGAAAATGTGTAGTCCCCGTATGACCCTCCCACGCGCGCGCACACATGCACAAAGTAAAGAACTAGCTCGCTCATTTTCACTTTCTGTTATCAATTCGTTAACCAACATTCTTCACCTATGCAATGAACGTTTAATTCCAGCCGTTGGTACTAAGAGGCAAAGATCTTCACCGATTACGAACACAGGCCACCGACTATGTGTTGTCGATTGTCGCTGCTTGATTGACAGATAAACATAAGCGGCCGACCGTGTTAAGCGCTGCTGAGCGCTAAAAAAAGACAGCACAACTGTTTGCTTTATACCACGCTACGACCGTTCACAATTGTCTGGTGCGCTACCGCGTTCAGTTTAGTTCTTCATATTTTGACGAACACAGCTAACAAGAGCAACGTGCGCCAATTTACTCGTTCGTCATCTGCGCTCACTACAAGTTTGCTACGCACTAATACGCAAGTTTCGCAATGCATTTTCAATTATCGGACAACCTATCGTCATCCGTGCTCGCATGATGAGCGACAAATCCGGGATTTATTTTTTTTTTTAGTCTTTTCTCTTACATGTATGAACTATGTTTAACGAAGCTCGGAAGCACACGCGAGGGAACAAATAGCAGAACGAAAATGTGGTGCATGCGTGTTTGTTTAATTAGCGCGTATGAAACAGACGAAGTTAAGTGCCCCGTAATTAAGGACGGTGGAAGTGGAGGCGGTATTATCGGTTGCAACGGACGGTGGTTGTTAACAGTGTTTGCAACAAAGCGGAACCACCTGTCGGTTTCGCAAACTCTATTGTCAGCGCTAAGAGCTCACGCAAGAGCCAGGCTTTTAAAACGGTGAGGCTTAAAAAAAAACGTAAATACACACACGAATGCACGCACCGTTCCACACCGAACACAAACGTTCCTATGCGAATATACACGAGTCACACAATTTATCGTAAGCTAATTGCATCGTACGCGTTGACTTCCTAAAGTATAGCGCTTCATAGCGCCGAAATCTTTTAATCGCTTCATTCACAACGTGTTGCACCAGTTTAGCTGATTGGAAGTGACACAGATAAATAAAC